AGACAGTCTTAGTTTCATTGCTGCTGGTTGAAGAATGTTAAACTCATTATCCGTTTTCACGATTTTAGTATTCACTAAACCATCGATCTTTCCATTCTTATACTTTCTTTTTTCTTTATTTTAACTTTATGGAATTTCTTTAGATGCGAAGTTGAAATTAGCATTGCTCCTGGTTCCATATATGTAAAGAAATATTTTTGACTATGGAACTAGTCGTCAGTTGCTTTTGTTATGAAATATGTGTCACATCTCAAGCGAGACTGTTAAATAAAAATTTGCAATATAATAATGATTTTAAATTATCCCATTACTATCATACTGCTTGTTTGCTTCAGAATGTTTTTATCGGCAGCAGTGAACAAACATGGCCTAATGCCATTCACTTTACGGTCATTTGAGGATGAGAAGCTAGCGAAAATGGGTGTTGTGGAATGTGAACGACATAATCTTATGCGGCCGTATCAGGTTTTTTTTGATCAAGTATACCGCTCATAAGAAATACCATTTTCATTTTTTCAAAACATTAACTTGGATGTATTGTGTAAAGGTTCTGGGAAATGAAAGTTCCCTTCAAAAGTAAAAAAATATGTGGTATTATAGGTTACATGACCTAATTATCCTTACAATAGCATACTTCTGCAAAATAATCGTGTAAGATAATAGTGAAAATACTAAAATGATTTTACGGGGTCATATTTTGTTATATTTTTCCACTGCTTTTTATCCAGTTTTCGCTTTATCCTTCTACAGTTCTAGCTGAACGAATGTAAGGTAAGGTGATTTCAAGATTATCACAGAGAAGTTCTAATTTATCTTGAAAAAATGGATGTTGTTTTTTTTGAGCATTAAAACTAATTCAGTTCATTTTTTAGAGACAACAAAATTTAGGTAGTTTACTTTTATTTGCCATAGTAGTCAGAAAGAATGTTTGCCGTTTTCAGGTTTTCTATGAACGAGAGAGTGAATTTGTGGCACAGTTCAAGTGCACGGTACTAATCATGCCTAATGGATTACTGAAAATTACTGGATTTCCTCTTGATATGAATGCGTTAGAAAGCGATATAAAGATCGAAGATCAGTTGGTTAGTTTTTCTGAAAAATTAACAAATTACGATTCAACTTTTAGTACGGGGTTTGGATTTTCAATTCATTTAAATTTTCGAGAAGCATGATTAATACAGCTCTTTTTCAAAAATTGTCAAATATCTATGAATTTGCAATTTGGCAAGGTATTCGAAAAATGTTTGGCTTTCCCGATTTTAAAAACTTAAGTTAAAATTACGTTAAAGAAGTCGTTTTTCAGATCACATCTTTGTTGAACTCCTCATTGAAGCCTAAAAAGGCAAAGAAGAAGCCGAAAAACGGTAAGAAGGATGAGAACAATGGTGCTCAGAAGAATAATGATATTATTGAGAAGGAGGGAGATGCTGGTACCCAAAATGTGGACATGAAAACTCGAGATATGAATAAGAAATCTGTGTCATCTGATAACAGGGACGGTGTGAACGTTACAAACGTTACAACAGAATTAAAAATAAATGATCATTGAAATTAGCATATTTGATACAGGTGGGTTATGATGAGCATGCTTATGATAATAACAACGATTGTTGGGTCATCGGATTTGTTAATCTGCCCTTTCTTTCTTTCTTGAGATCAAAGAATACATTGGCCTTTTTGTTATTGTTTGGGTGTTGTTTTTGTTTTTTGAAATGTTTTTGTTTGATGCGTGTTTGTAATATTGTGTTTTTGAAAGCAACTTCTGAGATATAATAAGCTTTAGGATTAGGTATATACAACAAACGGCGTAGATAGATTAAATGATATAATTGGATGGTGGATATTGTAAGAATATTTGAAAGTATGATGCATAGCTATTTCTCGTTTCAAATAAATGGCTCCGTACTTTTTCTAGCTGGAAACGCGTAGCACTAAAATGATCGGAAATCCCGATATAGAGAACATGAATGTTTCGCGGTTGCTGTTATTGTCTTTCTCAATGTAGCGAAGGGAAAGCAAGGATTTTAGGAGGCAAATAGCATTATAATGTTTTCCGTAAGCTCGTAAGTGTTATATACATAAGAGTTTAATGGTTTCCATCATTCTTGATAGTATATCCTGGTTAATATTTCATTATTTTCTTCACGAACTTTTGAAAGGAAGTCTGGAATTTCGAATCAAGTCGAAATGCTACGGATGAGCTTGAAACATTTTATGTTTTTTGTCAAATTACAATGTTTTTTAAATTCAAGTTACAATGTTATATTGTTTAAGCCATACCTTGTTCAGATACAAGATAGAAAATTTGTTCAGTGGTTTCTCTGTTTCTATGCCCATGTGAAATAAACCGTTGAAGTTGAAGAATTAAAGGTTTCAGCAGTCAGTAATTACACAAAAATTTAATCTTAGTTATTGAGACATCGAACGGTCGGTCGAATCATGAGTCACTAGCTCTGTCGTATTGTATGGTCGGGAACTATTAGTAAAGGGATTTCCGGGTTTACAATAATGTGTGTATTATTTAGCTTATCCCATACAGATGTCTAGGGTTCTGCTCATTAAGCTGATTGGTGATAATAAAGAGTACGTAATTGCGAAAGACCCTCTAGTATTGATGGACCAAATACATCTTGAGATCCGGGCTCGATGTGTTCAAGTTGAAGTAGTGCTTGAAAAGATGCGTGCCACATGGTTGAAAATGTTAGAGATTCTCACCGAAATGAAGGAAGTGCTGAAAAAGTACCAATAATGGATCTATTTTTCCTTATTTCAAGTTCTTGTTTTCAAAAGTTTTTTTTTGTATATCTCAGAAGGACAATGTCCTTATGAAATATGCGCTTTCAAAATTTTTGTATATTCTAGAATGATAATAAAATATTTTTATGAAATTCTCATTGTAAACATAGCAAATTCAATACTGTAAAAGAAATGCAAATTTGTCTGCATATTCGCAAATTCGACTCAATCATACAGTGACACATGCAAATTTGAACTAATCAAAACTAATTAATTTGAAACACCGAAAAAATAGTTTTCATTTAATTAAGCTCTTATTTTACTATTGCAATGAATATTCAGTGAATGTACGAATAGAGCTATTTGATATTTCTAAAGTTTATTGAAAAATCTCTGACGGCATTGCTACAGTTAACCACAGTTCGAATAGTCAAGGCGGCTCTCTACAAGATTTTGATGATTTATCATTGTTCAAATCTGCATACATTTTACAATATTAAAATCGAAATTTTATATCCGCATAACACTAAACAATGCAATGGATTCGAATTTTTCACTTGAAAAGACTAATTGAGTAATTTACTAAGTTTGCGAGGGACATATTTCACAAAGATTTTATTACCTTCTTAAGATAGACAATAATTTGAAAATGCGCAGCAATTTTAAATAAGAAAAAACGCATCCATCAATGATCCTCCATTTCCATCAGTTGCTTAATTTTCGTGAGGACAGCAAATACTTCCGAATTTTTGACACGAATCTTTTCAAGCATTGTATTAAGTTGAGCACCTCTAACCTGCATTAAACCAATTGACGTATTTTCTTTTAAGTGTCTGCTCCATTAATGCCGTACCCTCGCTGTTAATACGTTGAAGCTCAACATTGCGTTTCTCGAGATGCTCGATTAACAATGCCATCGCTTTTTAAAATGAATAATTCAACATCTACCGAGTAACTCTTTAAAACATAGAAAATGTTAGTGCAAAAGCAATGCTAAAACTAATTAAATCGAAACACCAAAAAAAAGTTGAAAATAAAAAATATTTTGGATTTACCGAATATCTGGAAAAAAAAATTATGAATTATGTTTTTGGCCTTCCGGATGATCTGACATTTTTTGCATTAGATGAAGAAAATCTTTAAAATTTTAAGCACATGCTTGGGCATGGATTTGGAAGAAACGGAATGCTCACAAATGATGATAAAATTACAAAATTATCAGTAGTTGAATGATAAAACATAGCGAAATATCTCGTGATGATTTTTCCATTGTTCATGTTTGTTTACTTAAAATGCTGAAAAATTGAAATAACCTGAATGTACAATATTTCGTATAGGTTTACGTAAAAACTAGTTTTTTCCGAAACATCACGTAAATTGCGGAACTCTATTCAAGGGATTCATGCCAATACCTAAGTCTTGCCAATACGCCGGCTGCTCACCTGTTCCTCTGCAATGGACTGATGAGAAATAAGTGAGATTGCTACTTAAATAACTGATTTGGTATTGGTTGAAAGCAATGAAATTTGGAAATAGGTCGGAATTCCATGTTAATATTTTCATTCAATCGGACAAGTGATTTCATCCAAAATAAAAGGGAATGTCATCCGGAATTGAATAAATTATCTCCGGAATCAGCTGTGAAAGCAACAATCTCATTTATTTCTTCGAACGGTTGGACGTGGGTTTTTTAGCAAAGCGGTCCCTTTCGAGAATGGTGGAGTAAAGGGAAATGGTGGTCAGGTAGAAGATTCGGTGGATATTTTGGTAGCACTTTGTGGATTTTAGCCGATGTGAGAAAACAGTAGCAGCATTAATTTCGTGGAACAAAATTTCGCAATTTACGCGATGGGAAAAATTTAGTTTTTACATAAAACGTGTACAAAATATCGTGCATTCAGGTTATTGTAATTTTTCAGTACTTTGAGCGAACAAAAACTGCAATGGACAAATCATCACAAAATCCTTTTGCATGTTTTTATCATTAATCTTCAAATTTTATCATTATTTGCAAACATTCCGTACCTCATCCATTCAAATTCATGCCAATGCTGTCAGGGATTTATTAATAAACTTTAGAACTAGCAAATAGCTCTGTCCGTACGCTCACCGAATATTCATTGCAATAGTAAAATAAGAGGTTAATTAAGTGAATCAATGAGAAAGAAATTGGTTTACCAATTATACAATGGGGAAAAAAGAATGGTTCAGTGCTAAAGTTCAAACATGTAAGCTGTTTGACATAACTGAGCTAAATGTTATAGTTCTATTGTGACAGTGCTTTCTGATTGCTGTGACGATGATGTTAGCTTACAATGCAATGTAAAAATTAGAATAGGATGACAAAAACTGTTGAAGAAATATCATTTATTCTTTATGAATGATAAGCAGGAGAAGAGTCGCTTTCCACAGGTTTGATTCAGTTTTTAAGTGGCATAAAATCCTTGGAACAAAGATCAGTAATTTACGTGATGTTTCGGGAAAAACTAGTTTTTACGTAAA